GGGGGTCCCTACATCGGCAGCTTTGAAACTGTTCCCATCTCGAGATGTGCCTTTCTCTGGCTTGCTCTCCATTGTTGCACCAAAATCTCTTCTCTTCCCAGAAAGGCCTGGGGTTTCCCATCTGCCCCAAACTGCCAATCCTTCCATGTCTGCCCACCCACCACGTCTTTGTGTGTGAAGCCCAGAGGCTGTGACCCGTGTCCTGTAGCTCAGTGTGGCTCTGCTGCCAGGAGGGTTCTTCATCGCCAGTTGCATATCTCCACATGTGGGGTCACCAAACCATGTCCTTCACATCCCGGGGGCAGGCCAAAGTCAGAGTCATCCTCTAAAAATCTGGTAGCATTTGGATTCCCAACCTCTAGTTTTCCAGCATTTGGAGGGATCTGGAGTTTCTGGTTGGGAGAGCTCACGTTCCCTTCTCAGGCAGCTTTTGGTAAGGGTCACCTGCAGACCCAAAGCCAGTCTGTAACCCTTCCCAACCACCAGCCCAGACATGAGGTGGCTTCATCTTTGTGAGCACTTTTACCTTTTGACGTGTGGGCTCTCTGGGATCACCTGCCCAGCCTTGGAGTGTCCTTCAGGTCAGATGATGAACTTACTCCCTGCTGTGTGCCAGAGCCACGTCACCTTCACACATAAAAGTCTTCCCTAATTTGGGATCATAATCTTCTCCCTTCTGTGCACTTGTTCAAGAGGTGTTTCTATGTCTCCGGCCTCTCCTGAGCTCCTCTCCTTCTAGCCTCCATCCCCCAAAAGCAGCTGTCTCTCCCTGAATCTCAGTTAGCCTGAAGACTCCCCAGGGCATCCCCAGCATCCTGTGAAAAGTACGGGTGGTGGCAAGTGCTCAACCAAGTGATGATGGGTTGGAGTCATTGTCTTCTGCCTGTGACACACACAACACAACTCACAGGCTCCTTGAGAGATGAGATCAGGCCATCACAGCCTCCAGGCTACTCTCCAGAGATGCGAGGGTCCTCCACCTCAAAACGCTTTCCTTCCACAGCCTTTCCTGCCGCAAGCCCTTTAGGGGAAGAGATGTACATCTCCTGGTAAGGAGATGTAAAAGTGTCTCTCCACATTATATCAACCACCTGCACAAGCTTGTGCCTGCATCCCACTACAAGAGTTTCCTACGTCTTCCTCCACCTCCACTTCTACCTGCGAATGGAGCCCCAGGAGACCACAGGCTCCCAGCCGTGAAGTCAGTGGCTCAGTGGCAAACAGACCTCCAAATCGGTGAAGGCAACATCAGTCTCCAAATGAAAATGGGCAGCTGGGTAGAGGGGAAAGTGTCTGTGTGCAAGCCAGGAGGGTCAGCAGCATGGCTCGCACTCCGAGGTACACAGAAGAGATGGTGTCCAAGGCTGGCATGGTGAGCAGGGGAGGAGGATGAACATCTGGAGAGAAATGGGAGGTGCTTGAGAAGTGCATGCAGCTGGAATGGGAAGGTACAGTCCAGCTCTCCTATGTGGAAAAGTCTGTGTCACGCTTATGATGTGTGCAGGGCTTCTGGAGGTTCAAATGGCACCACAGCGTTACCTTCCCTGTTCCCACGGGCTACAAGGGTGTTTGATGTAGTCACCTTCTTGCTGGACATGATATGCTGCATATGAAATATTTCCATAACTCCTTCCAGTTTCTATGACCTCTGAAGTTTCTTCCCCCACTTACAGGTTTCCCCTCCTCTTGCCGGTCTGACAGCCCAGAAAGGTGTCCCGCTGCTCGTGACCACTGCCCCTCCGGAGGTGTCCTCTCAGCCTTCCACTGGGCAGACCTGTGGGGATGGTGGCACGTCTCCAGAAGCCCCTTCCTCCTGGTCACCTGGGCCCACCCCCTCCCGTGTGCTGTGGCACACAGTCCGAGCAGGACAATGTGGGGCTCAGCTCTGCGCAGATTCCCCAAATCCACCTCTTCCTCCTACCACAGACCAAGCCACGTGAGGGTCCTCAGTGTGGACACAGACACTTGATCATCTCTTCTGCCCCATCGCAAGCACAGGTCCCCAGGCTGACAATGCACCCTCCCACCCTCCCTGCAAAGCAATGAGCTGTGTCACACAACGAGGTGCATTTTGTCACCCCTTGTCCCAACACTCCATGACCTTCCCAAACCTCTGCGGTTAAGTTCCTCTGCACCAATACTTAGAAACGTTCCTCTCCTTTTAGCTTTCCATTTATCCTTGGACAGTTCACACTCCTTAAATGTGCTGGGGATGGGAATGATAAGGAAGGAAGGAGATCTCCTTTGCTTTGCTTTTGCTGGCCTAGCAGAGCCCAGCTCTCATCATGTGTCCTAAGACACACCAAAGGTGGCCACAGTTTCCTGTCTTGATATAACCTTTCTCACATCCTGAGCTCTCTCCCACAGTGTACCTGCTGTGCTTGTACAGGAGGCAGGAGAGATGGGCCAGTGTCCCTGGGCCAGTGTCACCAAGCAGAGCTCTGCTGGTGGCAGCCACCCTGCCCTCATCTGGGCTCGCCCCATGCAGCCAAAGAGCCTTCCTCAGTGCATCCCTGGGACATGGACCTGCTAGCAGGCACACTCATTCACTCCCTCCTTCCTGGTGGACCCTCCCGCCAGCCTGGGAGGGTGGGAGTGGGCAGGGGAGGGGACCACAGGTCACGGGGGACAGACCTTGGCACAGGCAGACTACACCCCTCCTTCTTCTTGGCTGGGATCCTGGCTCTCCCAGGGCGATCCCCAAAAGTTCCCTCCTCCCCTAGGTTAGAGGACAGGTATCTTTTTAGACAAAGCATGGCTAAGATGGGGCAGTGATTTCAACCACCGCTAGAAAAGGGGTGGGGGGGGCCTGTTGCAATGCTGTGCCCACACCTGAGAGGACATGGGCTCATCCCTCCCAACCTGCCAGCTCCCGGCACTGGCAACTGGTGATTTTAGGATGCAGCCAGCAAGGGAAATTTTTAAATCCTGAGGAGGTCTAACCAGCCACCAAGGAACTGCCGCCTTCAAAGGACTGAGTATATTTAAGCTAAAACCCAATAAACTAAACTGATGCACCAGTCTGGCAGCAGTGCGTGCAGGGCAGACTGCGGCACTGGTACAGTTTGGTGACCACATCCCTGAAATCCAGCCCGTTGTAAAACCCATTTCAAAACAGCACCAGTTAGGAACCTCTCCTGCTTTTGCCTCCTCATCCTTAGGTGAGCACAGGCAACTCCACCTGCTCAATGAAAAAAACAAAGGGGAAACAGTTTGCTGCTCATCGGGAGAGATTGGGAAGAGCGGGGAAATTGCAAAGCAGGAGAGATGGTTGGGATCATCTCCGGTGAAGGTGTCAGAGCTGAACCAGCCAGAAGCCCTCTGGCAGGGATGGGATCGCCCTGGCTCTGGGCCAGCAGGCAGGGAGACCCGCAAAGTCTGCAGGAGAGAAACTCTTGATTTTTCCTGGGGGATAACACGCTCCCAGCAGAGAGGAGGGAAGCAGGAGGGACACGGCCCTGGGAGGAGGCTGGCCAGCGGGCACCCCGAGCACCGCAGGCAGCACTTCTCTTTGCAAGCCGCTTTGCTGCAAAGATTTCTCCCTCCCCAAAACACATATTTAGTCTCGGGCAGGAACATTTGTGATGCTGTGGGCTCACCTGCAGGCAGTGGACGCCTCTGCCTTCTGACTGCTTCTTGATAGGGAGGGGTGTTTGGTTGGGGTTTGTTTTATTTTTTTAATGCAGATCAAGGCAGCTCGCAGGGTGATGCTGCCTGGTGGTCTTGCTCCCTGTGTTTCCAGCTCCTTCCCCGGCAAAAAAACAGGCAGAGTGGCTCATCCCCTGGCCCCGCACAGTGGGCAGCGTTTGGGCTGCAGCACAGAGGTGGGAGCCGAGGGATGTCACTGAAGGCGGGGGCTGAGATGCTGAGTGGGCAGGTGGCACTTGGCCACGAAATCACCCACCAAGGTCTGTACTGGCCGAGGAATGACCAGGAGGAGTAATAACGGCCTGAGGCAAAGCCACCGGGACTTTATTAGCTGGTGCATAAAGCGGGGAAGGCAGCTCATTAACCTGTGCGGTGCCGCAGGACCACGCGAGACGGCTGTGCAGCCGCGCTTTTGCGAGTCCCGGGCTGCCCGGCGCTGAGCGTCGGCAGCACCGGAGGGTGCCGGGCCGGTGATGTTGGGAGCAGCTGCTGTGAAAGTCCCCGAGATGCCTGCATGGGAAGGGGGGTGACTTTCTGCCTCCCCCGCTTCAAATCTGTCCTCCTCCCCACCCCCCCACCCCCCGCCCCCAACTGCTTCTGGACCGAGCAGGGCTCTGAAATGGCTGGGGGGCTTCAGGAAAGGGTGAGAAGACCCAAGGGGATGGGGGGGGTGATACATCCACACCCTCTCGTCCCAGATTTTCACAGAGGGGAACCCAAATCCTCTCTGTAGAAGTGGTCCAGCAGGACAGGGTGAGAGCAGGGTGACCCTACGTAGCCGTGCAGGCAGCACCCAACATACGCCCAAAAACTCTCCCCATCCTGGTCCCAGGATTTGCCCCGTTATGATATACATCTGGGACTTACTGACCTGATTTCCTTGCCCTTTTTTTTTTTAAAAAAAGGCTCTGACTGCTGTGAACTGTTCCTCATTACATGACCTCTCGATTTAATTGCTGAAACTACTGTAAACACACATTCTCTAGTGTAAACACGCATTCTCTAGTGTGAGGAGGTATATTCCTAGTCAACACCATTAAGCATTTCAGTATCTAATCTCCTCTAACAATTCAGCAGTTCAGTTTAGTTTTCGCTTTCATTAAGAAGGGTTTAGAGGAACAAAAATACGGATAATATGGATAATATTGTCTTACTGCTAAATTTCACCCTTCCCCTCCATTTATATTTCTTTTTCATAATTGCAAACACTTATCGTGCCTCCAAGCCTGCAGAAAAGCACTGCTCTTCTTGATTATTATACAAACACGGAGATGTAAATACGTTAAAATTAATCTGCACTCTGTGCCCACTCCGGCTGGTTCCCAACACATTGCTTCATTTTTCAGGAGAAAGAAAAGTCAGACCTCTGCAACCCACCACACGGTCTTGGGGAAACCGTCCAAAATCCTCTGCAAACTTCCTATTGTCAGAGACTCGCGTGAGCAAATTCCCAGCGAAGGCAATCGGACATGTCATTAGGAGAGCAACCCAAGCAGAAAGGCCCCATATGACCTCCCCGGTGCCGAGCGCCTTTAATAATAAGAAGGAGTTACGAGGCTTGCAGAGAGACTGGTGAGTTGGATCAAAGATCATCACTTGGAAATGATCGCGTCCCTGCACCCAGCGGTTTCCCTGCCCGTTCCCGCAGGTTGCACATCCCCTGCCCAGGTACCGGCTGAGCCCCTGCCTGCAGCACGGCACCAGGCACCGCGGGAAGGCTGGGCTTTTTTTTTGGGGAGAGTGCAAAACCGACAGGAGAAGGCAGAGCTTTTAACGTGGGGGATGTTTCCCCCCTCCAGGTCCTTGGTGGGTTTGTCTTCCCCTGCCCAGACCCGCAGTGAGACCCTCGGCTTCCCCCAGCACCTTCCACCCCCTGCCCACTCCACCCAGCCCCGAAACAGATTGAAATGTCAGGACTTACAGCTCGGCCCCCTTTCCTGTCGCAGCTGGGTCCCTGCTCGGGACCGGGAGGCTGCGGGGAGGCTGGGGGAGCGGGGCGAGGGCTGTCCCCCCCGGCTGAGACCCAGCATTCCCAAACCCCGCCGAGGCGGGGGGCAGGTGACGCCCAAAACTGCTCCCGAGCATTTACAGGCTTGTTTGCAGGGAACATCAAACTCGGGAACAGAAGCGCCAACCCAGAAGTCATTCCGCGCCCCCCCCACCCCCCCACCCCCCCTCGCCGTCCCTCCCCACCCTCTTGCTTGGTCTCATTTGTACCGATTTGCCCCGCAGGCTTCTCGCTGATTTGCCATGTCCCTGGCAGGGCTTCGACTGGGGAGGGGGAGCGGGAGCCAGACGGGGAGCGGATGGGGGGGAGCCAGCCATGGGGAGGGTGGTGGGGAGAGGGGTAGGCCAACAGGAGCCTGGCTTGCCAAAAGCAGTTCAGACCTAGAAAAAGCTTTAATGTGCACAGACGGAGCAGGCTGGGAGCAAAACCAGCTGGGCTGGAGGAGAACGTGCTCGTCGAGAGGCTGGTTTGGGGCTGGGTGCGTGCGCGGCCCAGGGCTGGCTCCTTGCTCCAGCCCTCTGCCCCCCAGGGGGGAAGCAGAGGCGGGAGGGGGAGATTAGATGTGAAAACTCCCCTTCCAATGTCAACTTTCCCTATCGACGAGCGACGGGCAGGATGCCAGCCTGGTTTTCTCCAGAATTAATCATTTACCTGCTCCAGCCGCCACCCTTGCCCTGACAGCTCCTGCACCACGTCTCCAGCGCAAGAAATGATGGGTCCCCTTGAGCTGGGACAACCCCACCAGCATCCCCACCCTGTGCCCATCCTGGAGCTTATGCCATCGTCCCCACCCCATGCCCACCCTGGAGCTCGTGCCCTGGGATCCCTGTGTGGGGCTGAGCACCGTCACCCCCGGAGAGTAACAGAAGCCCCCCCATGGGGGTGATTCAGAGCTTGGGTGCCCCCCTTCTCCCCTTGCAGGTCCCTTTCTCCTACAATAGTGAGCCCCAGGCCACTCAGTTTTGGTGGCTAGTACCCAGCTAAGTGTTGGCCCTGGCTGAGAGGACCAGGGACAGTTGTAGCCTGAGAAACCTCTTGCAAGATTCTGGATCTGGCCCAGACATCCGTGTCGGCCTGACCCTGCTTTGCATCGTTTAACGCAATTCCTTAAAATCAGACCCTCCCAAAGCTGCCCAGGCGGGGGGCCCTGGCTTTGCTCTTGTCCCCGAACCGTGGCCCTTCCCGGGCGCGTTGCAGGCAGCCGGCCCCAATCTGCCGTGGCGCAGGGCCACCTGTGCTGGCTGCCCACGCCATCTGCGAGGGGGGAGGTCGGGGGGGGGGGAGCCGGCTGCCATCCCCCCCCCACCCCCGTGCGGGTCAGCGAGCAGGGGGACAGCCGGGAGGGGGGGGGGGGGGCACGTCTGACTCACTCCAACCCAGGGTGCTGGCACCACCACCCAGTACCCAGCAGGAGGAAGAGGAGGGGATGGCGGCAGCCCCCACCCGGATTCCTCCAGGGATCTGCTGCCGTGGGGCCGCGGGGGGGGTGTGTGTTTCTGAGACCGGTTCTGACACAGTGGTGTCACAGGGGGAGCAGCTCCAAGCAGCCCTGGGAGCCTGTTAGCAGGTGGGAGAAGCTGGAGATGGCTCTGATCTGCCCTCCTGCTCATGCTGGTGGCAGCCGCCGTCCCCCCAATCCCTCCCTGCTCAGCTCCCGGAGCATCCCAAGAGCTGCACAACCGCTGGAGCTGGGCACCGGTTCCCTCCAGGAATCCCCCACGGGCGCTGCGGCAATCGCTGTCCTCCTTGCAGGGGACGTCGTCCTTTGATGAGACGATAACGGAGCCCGCCCTGCGCCTTCCTACAGGTAGCCGGAAAGTTTTATTTGTCACCGGCTGCTGGAAAGGTCACGGGCGTCCTCCTCCCCCTTCTATTTCTGGCCTGTGCCCTTTCGCCATCAGAGCGGGGAAGCGCTCCCGTCCGCTGGGCCCCGGACGCGCCGTCTCGGTGCGGCCGCATCCCTGATGCCTCGGCCCCGGAGGCGTGAGGGTGGGCTGTGGGGACGATGCTCTGCGGCTGCCCGCCCGCTGCCCACGCCGGCTGGGCTCTTTCCGGACCAGAAAAGCTGCTGCGGGGCGATGAGAGCTGTGTGAGGACTCGGTGCCATCGGCTCCAGCCCCGGCGCAGGAAAATAATGGGAATTTTGGGATGCAGGCAACGCGTGTGATATTACTGGAGTGTCCTTGCTGCAAAAGCCGTGGGACAGGGCTTTGGCTTCGGGTGTCACGGGCACAGACGTGCTGAAGCAGCCTGTGCTGTGCCTGGGGTGGGGTGGTAGGGGTGCAGTGGGGAGTGTGGGTCTGGAGGGACCCCAGGAAATGGCGAGCCCTTGCCCAGGGGGTTGGTCCTTCAGCACACACACGTGTGGGCAGGCAGCTGCCAGGGGCTCTCAGCATCCCTGCACAGGCTGGGCTGGCACCAGTGGTGGGAGGGAGAGTCACGGGAGCACTGGCGAAGCATGGGCTGTGGGATGCTCCCGGGTCTTACTGGTGCCACCCAAAAAAGGGGAGCAAAAAGGGGACACCCCTCGCAGGCAACAGGAGACAGAAAAGGCAGATTTGCCCTGAAAATTACCCTCTGCCCAAACCCGTCGAATTTCTTCCTAATTCTGAGAAATACCCAAACCTTCATCTGAGCTTTTCTCCCCTGGGGGGCCAGGTAGGACCAGCTCAGGGATCCACTGAGCTTCCTGGCCACTGTGGCCTGGGGTCACCCCAGATGCAGCTCTGCACGTACAGATCAACTTGCAGCTGTACGAGGAGCCCCGGACACCCTTTGCACCCCGGGGAGGGCAGTTGTGGAACCCCATTGCTACCCACTTCATCCTGGCACGTCTTGGGAGGGTTGTGACCCCAAGAAGAGCTGCAGAGGAGCCCAGCTCCCATTTCCAGCCTCCCCAGCTTGCCCAGACAGTGTTGTACCGTTAAACAGCCTCGCTGTACAGAGCCCAGACTTTTCCAGCTCTGGGCCAACCCGAGGAGGCTTAAGAAAAGCCCCGGGGAGCTTTTTCATGCCTCTTTGTTCATGGAGCAAAGATATTCCCAGCCCTGAATCTATAGATTGGCCCTTAAACTAAAACAACCTCCGGGGACCAGAGAAACAAAAGTAGATTTTGGCTGTGGTTTGTTGTGTTTTGTATTTTTTTCTTTTTCTTTTCCTGCGTAGACAGCCTTTGCCCAGGAGGGGTTAGCATGAAAAATGCATGTGGGGATTGGGGGAATGGGGGAGTGTTAGGAAGAAGCTATCGATCAAGTATCTCTGAAAGCCACACAGCTGTGCCAGCCCTTCCCAGCGCTCCCAGTGCCGGGCTCGGTGCCCGCCCCCGGTTTGGGCTGAGGTGGCTGATGTTGTGCCCAGGAAACCGCCCCACATCCCGGAGAGGAGCCCACGCTGGAGGGTGATCGGCTGCCTCTGCGATTCCTGCCCCGCCTGTGGCTCCCTCCAGCCAGGCTTGCAGCTTGCTCCTTGCGATACAGCACGTCGGAAACGGCGTCCGTCCCTTTTCTCCCCAGATCTGAAGGATCCTCCTCCCAAGCTCTGCAGGACCACGATGAGGATCTACTGAACAGCAACGGCTCTGCCCTCTGTGCCTACCAACCCACCCGCCAGCCCCATACCTCTGTACCATTCTGCTCCGGCAGATCTGGAATAATAATAATAATAATTGCAAATATTAATGAGCCCAAGCCTGATGCAAACACAGACAAGAGCCCAGTTGCCAGGATGGGTGACCAAGCCCACCTCCTGGCACGAAAAGAGCAAGCTGAGGGCATCTCTGGGTCCAGCAAGCGCTGATGCTGGCAGGAGAGCAGGGACACAGGTCCTGCTCCCGGCTCTGGAGCTGCACTGGGTCTGGTCCCACAGGGCTGGTGTTCCCATACAGGCAGTGCCCTCACAGCTGCCTGGGGGCTGTAGGTGCCACAGAAAAACCCAGGGTATGATCCCGGGGGGGAAGAGCAAGGCACTGCAGGGGTAAAACCTTCTCCAGATTCTCCTTATCAAGAGTGGGAATGTCAAGGGATGGCGCTGGAGTGGATGTTTTGTGCTATTGACGTCCCCGCCACCAAAACCAATACTGCTAGCCAAAACCAGTCTGGGGAGAAGGGGCAGGGCTGACTTTAGGCTTTGCCTTGCCTGAAAGTGCCCTGAAATTTGTCCCAAATTTTAAATTTGGGAAGGGTGGGAGAGGAGAAAAGTGGTGAGGAGAAAAGCAGTGGGAGATGGGGATGGTCTGATCCCATGACAGGAAAAAAAATCCCTGACATCTTTGCTTGTCCCTCTGGCTGGGCTCTAGCGTACGGTGCTGGGCACCTCCTGCTTCACCAGTGGGCACCGGGTGGTACCTGCTTTGCCATCACTTTGCCTGATTTTACTCTGCTCCTGTGATGCGGGCAGCTCCTGGCCCGGTGGATACGGCTCAGTACCCAGTCGTGGCTGGGATTTGGCAGTGGGGAAGCTGAACTCAACTGGCTCAGCGGGGGGAGAGGAGGGGGCTCAAAATAGCTGGGGATGGGGGGGCGGGGGTGTTGCACTGGCTTCATTTGAGTGGGGCAAATCTGAAAGCGTTTGCCACCAGAAAGGGTTTTCATAAGTCCATCAGTCGTTCCCTTCCCAGAGCTGAGGGGACGCGGCCGCCAGCAGCCGCTGGCCGGTGTCATCTCCTCGCCCAGGGATGTGGTCCATGGGCAGGGGACTCCCTGAACCCCTGCCAGCTCCTCCTGTGCTGCCCGATCCTGGCGACACCGAGCTATTGAGAGCAATCAGATTTTCCCCTCCTCACCCAGGAAAAGCTCACGACACTAGAGAGACAGTTTGGCCCAAATCATTGACGGTGTGGCGGGACGCCTGGCACAGACCCCGGGGCTCCCTGCCCCATCACTGTCAGCCCCCCATGACACATCTCTGGCCCCCTGTGTCATGGGGATATCGGGTCTTAGGTCCGTAACCCAACCTGGTCACACGCAATTGCTTTCAGAATCGGCAGCTCCAGCCATGCCCGGAGACCCAGCACCCACGGGCAGGGTGCAGGGTGCTGCCTGGGCACCCCCCTGTCCCAGTCTGGTGTGGTGGGGATGCAGCCACCCCTCTCCAACCCGTGCCACCCCACAGAGCTGGCCCCGCTCGCAGAGATGCCTCTGACTGAACAGTGCAGGTTCTCTGAGTCCCCTCAGCTAATTGCAATCTTAATTATGATCAGTGACTGGTTTCTGATGCCCCGATGAAAAGCTGCTCCCCTTGGTATGGGCATAGGAGGACTGCAGCGAATGCTACCACTGCACCAGGCTGACAGGCAGGACTGGGGGATGCTGAAGTGCACCGACAGGGAAACTGAGGCACGGAACGAGGAAGCATCCTCAGCCTGGCCTCTCCCTTGCACACACAGAGCAATTCTATCATCTGTGCACTCACTGGGGGTATATAAGCAGAAATGGCCCGAAACATTCACTTTAATGATTTTGTTCCTCTTTAACCCATTTGTAATTATGGTTGTCTGTTTTGCCTGGATCTGCAGGGGCTTGCTCAATTCTGTGAGTTCACAGAGGTTCCCAGCCCCAAATACACAGCCGGGGCTCCTCAGTCCTCACATTGCCATCAGACACAGTTGATACACCAAAGAAAACCAGAAAAAAACACCCCACTATAAACTCAGCGTGGCCACGGCAAGCACGTAGCTGTTGCTAGGATTATTTTCCATTCATCAGGACACAGACTATCTCAGGCACGAAGTCTGTTCCCCCACCGTGAGGATGGGTGTATGGTGTAGGGAAAGCCGCAGCAGGTGGGCTTTATAGACACCACCCCCCCCATACATACACATATGCACACACACAGACACACGCACAGACAGACGCTCACCCGGCGCGCTTTGTTTTGCATTTTGCCACCGCGTTACCTCCAGCCCACATCCCCCCATTCAATCCCGGCTGGGAACAGTTTGCTTTGCAAAGGAAATTCCAGCGCAGGAAAGTGAAGGCAGCCAGGCAGGCACTGGAGGCAGCGGGCTGAGCAAAAGTGCTTTTTAAAGTTGTTTAATAATTCTTTGTTGCTCCTTTGCAAAAGGCAAGGGGAGCCCCAGCGCGGCTGGGTGGGATGGGACGGTGCCCGGGTGGGAGATGTCTCAGAGCAGCCGGGCAGGATCTGTGCACTGCCCGCAGCCCAGGCAGACGTCGACAGCAAGAAATACGAGCAAACAAACCCGCGGCTTATTTGGGATGCTCTCCAGCTCACAGCGTCGGTGTTTGCAGAGAGAGAGGCTGAGGCTGGGCTCCGCCAGACCCAGTCTCCCACATGCCTGACTGCCGTCCTGAACTCTGACTTACACAGGCACTGCTGGCACCAAAAAAGGTTAAAAAAATCCCCTCTAGTAACACTAATCGCTGCCCCATCCTGCCTGTCTGCACAACAGCCGGGTACTGCTGCTCGCTGGCAGGAGCCAAGCGGGTCCCTCGCACCTTCCCCCTCCCCGGGACAGCCTCCTGGGGAAGGAGACAGCGAGGACTTACCTGCACGCAGGACTTCTTCCCTCTCCGCGGCTCTGCTCTGCCTGATGTTCGCTCTGTGAAAGTGGGAAGCGTTTTAGAACATGCAGTAGGTTATATATTGTCTGCAAGTCTGGCCCTAGGGCGTCCATCAGTTGGTCTTGCTTTGCTCCTGCCCCTATATGGAAGATGCATCACATGCTCCACAGCTCCCAGCTATCAGCCTGGCGAAAGGGGAAAAGAAGAAGGAGAGGAGAAAAGGGGAAGAAAAAAAATTAAAACGATCTTCATCATCATGAAAGAGGCAGAGAGAATTTCTCAGTGGAAAACCCACCAGCCAGAAATCCCTGCCTGACCCGAACTTTCCCCGCTCTCCTTTTGTTATCCCTGGCTCCCAGTGGCCCCCTTTCATCTGCTGTTCAAGGCCAGCGAGATGTGAAGGCGCCTTCGCCTTGATCCCGCGCCTGCCTCGCCGCTGAGCAGGTGAGGGGGCTACGGCTTCGCTTCCAAACGCCGCCATCCACCTGCAGCTCTCTGGGCGCAAAATATTTATCCCTCCCCAGCAATGCCCCCAGTGCTGCCAGGGCTTGCCAACCGTCCTCCTCTAAACACACCCGGAGACCAGGTCCTGGGGCACCAGGGCCACCACGCTGGTGCAAAGCTGCTGAGATGGCATCTCCTGGAGTGGGGTGCTGGCCAGGAAGAGCTCTGCGTGGTGTTTGGGACCGGGGCAGCCCCCTTCACCCATCCAAGGGAAAGGGGTGCAGGTGGGGAGCTGCTGACCCAGTCAGGCGTGCGCGGGTGTCCCGGCCACCCCCGCGGTGGGGACGGTAAAAGCAAGCAGGAGGCTTGCACCGACTGCCTTGCCAGATGTCCCCAGTGGTTTAAGGACATTTCTCCAGCAGGACGAGAGAAGTTTCCCCCCTCTTCTCTGTCTCCAGCCTCCCCAGCAGCCGGGGTGCGCACCCGGTTGTGCAGAGCAGGGGCTGCAGATTGTGAGCAGAAATTCCCGTTCCACCACCTTCTCCGCCAAATTTTACCCGGTGGCTTCTCAGCCCTCGGTGCTGCTGCCACCACCCCAGCAGCTCCCCACAGCAAAGCGCCAGTCCTGCTTCTCTGCTCACCTCCCGTGCCTCTCTGCTGGGAGCCAAGCAGGGTACCTCAGTCTCTTGGTTTGGGTAGGGCATTCCCAGCTGGACCTCCTCCGGGAAAGCACTCCCTAAAGTGATGTCTCTGGGACAGCCCAGGAATCATCACCCCAGCACTGTGGCTTGGAGGTCCCAGCAGCCATGGGGGTGACTCGGCCTCTTTGCCGAGCAAGCCTGTCCTTGGAAAGGGGACACCAAGGTAACGATGTCCCTCCCAAACCCAGAGTCTTCCCTGGAGCATGCCGTCTTCTGGTGGACTTGGTCACCTACAGCACAGATGAATTCTTTCTCTGTCCAGAATTATGGGTTCCCGTTTTTCTTATGAATACGGTGTTTCCTTTTTCAAGTGTTTTTCTTTTTATTTGTATTTTGTTAAGGTTCAAAACCTAAGAATTTTTAATTAAAAACTTGTTTTGCTTCCTTCCCAAAACATCCCAGCCCGGATTAGCTGGGCTGATAATATGCTCACAAGGTGTGAGACCCTGCCCGCAAACCTGTATTTTTCTGACCTACATTTCCGCCTCTTCAAAAATATTTGGAAAAAACATAGCATTGTGCCACACTACTTGATTGAAACAATCCCGGAACCTTGGGTACGTCACAGCTGAACGTGGGAGAGCGACCCTCCATCTCCAGCTGACACAAACGTGGGGAATTTTACTTTGTGGTGGCATCTAATAGGACCATACTTACATGGCATCTGGAACTGAGCCCCAGGAGGTCGTGGGCAAAATTTCCTTATAACTCTGTTAGGAGCCAAAGGACCAAGGTTCAGGCTGGTAACGTGTCTTCACAGAAAGGTCTGTCTGGGCAGAAGGCATCTAGCAGGGGTTGTGCCTAGTGCCTTCGGTTCATCAGAGCTGGACTGAGTTGAGGTCTCCTACCTTGGAGCTTGTGCATCCAGCCTGCTAAAGCTCTTCCTTAGGCAACCCAGCCTCACCAGTTCCCATCTTTCTGAGGACCGCAGGGGCAAAGTCCTGGAGAGGCCAGTGCCAGGTCTGACCATGCTTTGTCCAGATGGACCATGATGTCCCCAGAGCCACGTTCTGTCAACATAACTGCTTCTCACACCCCTGCATGTTCTGGAGCCTTGCGATGCCACTGTAGAGAGGCCCAGAGCAATGCCAAAACGGCTGGTCTTCCCAACCTCATTTAAAATAGCTGTGTCAGAGTAAAGGATGTGACCCCAGACCACCAGTCTCCAGGGACTTGCTGCCATGTGGCAGGCTGAGGGTACCAGATGAGATCAGAACCTCCTGAGACTTTGTAAGAGCTCATAGTTCCTTCTCTGCAGCAGAAGAGCACAGTCCTCTCTCAGGACCCTTCTCATGGCCGCTGCTGCTAGCTTATGCCCTGGGAGATCCCATCTTCTAGGGTCAGACAGCCCTATTTAGAGATGGTTTGATGAAAAGTTACCGGTGAATTATTCCAGAGGCAAAGTAGGTCTTTGCCTTTCTGGGGTGCTCTCATCAAGAGGGAAATGGCACTGTGCTTTCCTCCTTAGTTTCAACTGCGCTTGGGTCCATTTTGGCCTCTTAAGGTTTTCAGTGACTCTTTCAACAATCTTGAACTTGCAGTTCTGATGATGGAGTTTCTTGCTGGATCCATAGTATTTTGCAACACATGGAGATGCTTTGCCAGCTTTTTCACTGAGCAAGTGCCCTACCTTCCTTCCCAGGATCACCTTCCTATCTGAATAGAAACCTTCATCTCATGCTGATGCCAGCTTGACATGACTTCACACTAAGCTAGAGGTGCCCTTGCCCAGATAACAGAGCTGTATCCAGCCCTGAAGATCAAAGGCAACACACTTGCCGGACAGACTCTCTGGGCCTGAAACCTGCTGACTACTTTGAGCCACTACACAGACTTCATGACTAGCTTGATGGGAGACACCATTCTTGTTGCCGAAGGATCCAGAAAAGCTGAGTTCTGATAAAAACTCACGCTTTCTCTGTGTCTTGCTGAGGTTCCTACTCAGCAGACTCAGACCACTCCAAGGGGTTGGGAAGAAGAGTCAAGGTATCAAAGCAACCGGGGTAACTAGTGTCCTTGCATTTCTGTAAATCTTCCTGTATTTATGAATGTCTTATAAAGGCTTTGGAAGGGAATGGGTGAGTAGACCTAACCAGGAGCTTCAGGGATGCAAAATCCACCAGGAGTTACTAAATATGGAGGAATCATGCCTGGTTTGTAAAGTCCCTCAGCTATGACTGGTCAAAATCTTGGAGAGTATCCAAGAGAAGTGTCATATAAGTTTGCTCTGCTTTTGTCCTCTCCCCTGGGTTTCTACTGTTGAACACCACCCAGAGACCTCACTAGAAGGACTTTTGGCAAGACCTTGTGCAGCTACTGGGTTCTTGTGTGATGTGGGACAGAGCTCAGACACTGAACAGGATGGGGAAGTCTCGGGTCAGTTCCAGAGGGGCCTAGATTATATTGCCTAGATCTAGTTTAAACTTGCTGTTTCCCTTTTGGGAAGAGTTATTCCCTTGACCACAACATTCTGCAAGTCAGATGGACAATTAACAGCTGTGCATATCTAGTTTTTGAAAGGAAGTTTTTTTTCTCTGAGGACCAAAGGCAGAACCAGTCATGGAATTTAGCGTCTCGAAGATTTTGTTCTTCTGCGCAGGGCTAAAGGCTGTTTCCTCTGTTTTGCTTTGTCTGTCCAACTGAAAGGCCCACATGATGGGTTTTGCTGAAGGCTCAGGTGTCTACATGTCAATACATAGGACAAGTAGGGGTGGTTGGGACCTGAAACTACAATCCTCAGCCTGGCTAAGGGCAGAGGGCTTTGTTCTCCAAGGAGCCGACCTTGCCTAAGTCAGCTTTACCTTTGCAGCTGGCCTCAAGCTGGTGAGAGGAACTTTCATAGGAAATGTCAGAGTCCCATTAGGGCAGCCTGCCCCACTGCAGCGTGCAATGCTGGGGTGGAGAGGTGGGGGGAAAACCCCTGCCAAGAGGGGAAATTTCCATACCGCTGTGTAGGTGTCGTGGTTTAGGCCTGGTTGGCAGCCAACCCCAATGCAGCAGCTCTCTCTCCCTTCCCCTCCGGCAATGAGAAGGGACAGAGAGCCAGGCTTGGGGTTCGAGATAGGACTGGGATGGGGGAAAATCCCCCTTTTATGATCACGAGCAAAAGGCAGACTCGTTAGGGGAAGAAAAAAAGAACATACATTTATTACAGATACCAACAACACATAACAGAGTAGGACAGTGAGAAACATTGCCACATCTTGAGAACACCTTCCCCCCACCCCTCCCTTCTTCCTGGGCTCAGCTCTGCTCCCGATATCTCTACCTCCTCCCCCAGTGGCGCAGGGGCAGGGAATGGGGGGTGCAGTCAGCGCTGCCACTTCCTTCATGTTCGGTGAGGTGAGTGTCCAAAACTTGTTCCTCCTGCCCCGTCGTGGTCCCCCTTTCACAGCAGACAGTCCTCCACAAACTTTCTCTGACTTGAATTCCTCCCATGGGCCGCAGCGTTCCCCACACTGCTCCATCGTGGGTCACTAACTTCCTCCGACTGGATTCCCTCCCACGGCTGCAGCCCTTCCCGAGCTGCTCCGGCGTGGGACTCCCCCGCATGCTGCAATCCTCCCAGCACTGAATTACAGCAGTGGGGCTGCCTTTTCCCATGAGACCCCGGCCTTTTTCGGGCACAGAACCTTGATCAGCTGAGCAGGAACAACAGGCCACAAATCAATGTCTGCTCCACCGTAGATCTCCATGGGTGGCAGGGGGGGCCACCCTGCCATCTCCCCACAGGATACAGGGGGGTCTCTGCTCCGGCACACCTCCCCCCTCCTTTCTTCCTCCATTCCTCCACTGACCTTGGTGTTCATGCAGCTGCAGCAACTCCTCCTCACCAGTCCCACTGCCCGTCACCACGTCCCTTCTTAAATACGTTATCGCAGAGGCGCAGCTGATGGGCTCAATTTCCCAAACAGAAATGGATCTGACGTGGAGCTGGGGGAGCTTCAAGAAGCT